GATGTACCCACAGAAGCTTTATAACTCTGTTTTGGTGTTTATTTTCCTCCTTTCAAATATAGCTGAGCTGCTCCACCATCTTTTCATGTACATAAAAGTATTTCAGTTTACTGATCTAATGGATTTACCTTTATCATAACTATGTCCCAGAACTGTGAGGAATGCATTAAGGAGCTTCTCTTGGGCTGGCACAGAGCTACATGCATGAGGAGTTTCCTCTGCAGAGGGATTTGCAGCCTTGTCAGCAACAGCAGAATTGCCCAGCAAATGAAAGCTATCAGGAACTCTTGGCATGAGCTTTAGAGTAACAATCTGTGAACTGTACGCAATTTGTGATCATGTGCAGTGTTTGTACTTGGCAAAAGATAATCTGCTTGCTAGCCAGAGAGCTGTCGCCAACAGGCCTGATGATAACATCACAAGTTCACTGAGCAGTAAAGCAAGACTGTAGAGTCCTAATGAGCAGATCCTCAATTTAAAGGTCCAGTGTGTAACATTCAGGGTGATCTATTGGCAGAAATGGAATATAGTATTATAGGTGTGTTTTTATTAGTGTATAATCACCTGAAAGTAAGAATTGTGTCATTGTTATCTTATAATGAGCTGTTTTTATCTACAGAGGCGGGTCCCTCTGAGTCTCCCATGTTGAACTGTGATGTTTCAGTAGTCCAAAATGGACAAACCAAACACTGGCTCCTGATGGGACCTTTTATGTTTGTTTGATAGTTTCACTGCTAGATGGCTCCAAATCCACACACACTGCTCCTTTAATGCTCCCCTCTTTTCAACTTCTGAGGCAAATTACCACTTTGAGCGCACAATTTATTGACTACGAGTGGAGGATATTTCTGTAAATGGTAATCCAAAAATGAGCATTTAAGCCTCTCTATTGTTTGGGCAAAAGCAAAATTGCTGTTTTTGTTCCATCCGGCTGTTTTGTACTGTGAAATGTAATTAAAAATTGTAGCACCAGCAGGTCTGATTTTTTAAACCTTCGCCTTACTTCTTAAATTATGATTTAAATTTTTTTTTGCAGTTTAAGTTGCAGCAGATAAGAACAAACAACATGAGTTATACTCTCACGAGACAAAAAGGATATTGTAGATATTCCTCTTACCTTCTCAGTGACACACTGTGGTTACTAGTAAACAAGGCAAACAGATGCTTTGGGGCAGAGGCGGGGCAGAGGGGTGGCTTCAGGGTCTCCAGCCCTGAATGTTTCCTCAAACCCAAATCTTTTAGGCTTCTAAAATAACTTCAACTTCACTCATTTCCCCTCATTCTTTCTGACTCAAGTGGAAAGTAACTGGAGCAAAAGTTTTATTACTGGGGAAATATCATCGCATTATGGCAATGGACTCACATGTAGCAGATTTGACAGCTAACCATTAATTCTGTGAACTCTACTCCCGCATTGTAACAAAAATATGTTTCAAGATTAATAATGCTGTTCAGGACAAATCCATACTCTACCTATGTAATCCTAAAAATAAAAAAATGTGCTTGTCTTTTGGTGGCAGGAATGAAAATTTGTCATCCTCAACATTTGTTGTGTTCTGGTTTTTAGAATAATGAAGACAGCTGGAGAACAATTAGATTTAAAAAAAGGATGAAGACTCTACAGGAGGATTTTTTCCCCCGGCGCTATGTAAATCACATATTTCCCCACATGATGTACAGATTTGTAGGCATCCTATTATCTCAACTGGATTGAAAAATAGTGCACAACTGCCATAAATGGGAAAAGAAATTCCCTTGGGGAAGCATGGTCCCGGACCCCCTCTAGGTTTGGTCTAAGCCCCGAATGTTTACAACGGCTGGCTCGGTCGTTGCAGGATGGTCTTCGTCAGAAATATCTCTTGCAGATGTCCGTTCTTCCATACAGAATCTCACTAAAGAGAGGATTCCTTGAAGTCAACATTTAAAAAGATATTTCAAATATATCTGATGAATTCTCAGAAACACAAAGTGAGACAAGTTATTCCGTGACAAGATAAAACAAAAATTGTTTGAGGCCGTGGCTACTTAAATCTCGTCAGTGCCAACCAGAACTGGGTCGGAAATAACACAAAAAACAGACTCAACCAGACTTTTTCACTTAAGGTAAATCAGATCTCATGTGTTTCTCAAACTGCAGTCAACTGTGCACTAGATGGCAGCTCTGCACAACCAGTAGCCTTCATGTGTCATTTGTGACTGACAGAAAAGAGACTGACAACACACAAGGAGTATATTTTGTTTCAGAGAGAAGTGCAGAGAAGAGCAGAGGAAGCTCCTACCCAAAAGGTAACACAAAGTACAAAATATAGCTGCACACAAATCTGTCAGTTTTACACAGTAATAAGTGTTTGTTTCTTGGGAATCCACTTGGGAGGTTTTTTTTTCCTTCTATTTTGTGCAAAGTGACCTCCAAGAATAGGTGTGCAATTCTCACCTTCAGAACAGTCAGTATGTAGCTGACACATTTATGAAGCTGTGTGGTACCTTATTTCAAATGTGTGTGTTTCCTTTCATCAGCGCAAGATAGAAAAAATCCTGTGAAGGTAATTTGTGTGCACACAGCATGTGAGCATGCCAGTAGGGAGGATGTGGTTGTCAACTTGGCGATGGAGGTTCACTCGGCATCTAAGCAACGGAGAGTTTGAAGAAAGCAAATGCTGTGTGTTTTTTTCCTCTGTCTTTAACAGATTAGCCAGATTTAGGTGACTTGCTGCAGATATATTTATCTACACTGTCAGTCAAACGTTTGTGAAAACTATATATCTTACTCTCTCTTTGAATTATAAATATTGAAGAGGAATAGGTGTAAGTGAATTAGGAAAAGGTATGTATTGTAAATGTGTTCGGAATTGACTTACCGTGATTGTACCTACAGCAGGACACGCTTTGTTTTTATCTTAAATGTGGTACTTTTATTTAAACATGGTCTGCTTGACCATTTTCAATCAGAGTTTTCTCCAGATTACTTTTCATATTCTAAGTTTTTTTTCCCTCAGATTCAGAATAACTTGCCCTTGAGTTATACGCAGATATAAGCATTTATAACTCCTCCTGCGGACAGTGGATGTTATACCAAACCTGGAGGCTGGTGTATAAACAGATGAATGAATGACAGCATAGTAAAACACAGTTGTAGTTATATAAAATGTGTCGTCATAGGAGAAGTTGTAATTTGTCTACATTATATATGTGATTTATTAAATGTTTGTATGCTGCTGTCCTACATATACTAAAAACAGTGCACATATAAACTGTATAACCAAACACAACAGGTGCCTTATTATGGGTGATAGATCTCATATGCATTTCTAATAATGTAAAAAGTCACAAATGTCTATCAAATTATATTCATTCCCAACTTGCAGGGTATTTTATTTTTCTTAATTGTCCTGATATCTCACCAAAAAGATAACATTTTGAAATACAGGGTGGAGATGTCCTAACAGTCAGTGTGAAAACATGAATATCTAGAAAAGGTCTTTCAAACTGTACAGCCACTCTACATGGGATAGTAGGTTAGAGGTTCTCAGGACCATATAATGTGTACTATGAACTTAAAGATTGTGCTCATTGTTATCGCTACAACAGCAGTCCTTTCTGCCCGTTCAGAAACAAACAACACTTCAAAGAAAACGTGGAAAGCTCAGATAAGAAAACAGTAAGAAAACAGACAGAGGCTTTACATTCTGACTTCTTATTGACTGTAAGTTTATCATCTATATGATAATTTTGATTAATATTATCACTGCATTCATGTGTATGTTGCATTTTTACTGCTGTAGATGTTCATGGTTGAGCTAATGTGCTGTTGTCGGGTGGTTTGATTTACAGCCATGCAACATATTGTATAAGATCATCTGTCCTATGAGAACCACGTATCTCTAAAAAGTCAACTTTTCATGAGCTCAGGAGCACAGCAGCCATTTTCAGCTTTGTGACAATGCATTCTCCAATTAATCCAAGAGAGTTTTATAGTTAGTTATAATAGTTTGTCTAGCTTCAGTAGTAGGATATCCACACATAAAGGTGCACTTAATCAGATTATCACAAACATTCAAGTTCAAAATCATAAAATTGGGAGATGTTTAATATGTTTTTTACTGGAGGGTATGAACACTTGTTATCTGAAAAGTAAGTAAAGCTATCAGACAAATAGAGTAAAAAGTACAATATTTGCCACTGAGATCTAGTGTAGTAGAAAATATACAGTAAATTAAAGCATAAATGGAAAAATTGAAATATTAAAGTGCAAGTAACTCAAAAATACTTGAGTAAATGTACTTAGTTACATTCCACAACTGCATGTTAGTACATCCTCAGTAACATGACTTCATCCATCAAGTGGATGAAGCATTATCTGCACTCAGCCTGTCTCTATCGAAGATATTGTCACAATGCAGCCAGAGCCCTCTAAAGGTTTTTTTTTCTTTTTTCTGGCAGCTTAACTCTTGTCATGCTCTGATTATTTGAATCACAAAGAGCAGTGGAGGTGTTGTACATGACTGATGGGTGAGGAAATGAGAAAACTGTGAAGCTTGAAGAAACGTTGAAATCATTGCAGTTACATTTGTGGACTCGAGCACATAATCCGTTTTCCTACGTCTCTCTCTCTCTGTCTTACTTTGTAACCATAAGGGATGAGCGAGCACACGGTTATCTGTATCTGTTCAACCAAGTAAATTATCTGTATTCGTATCCATATGTGAAATGGGCGGGGCTTAAAGCGGACGTGGGTGGTGCTTAATCTGAAGTAATTTAAGGCTGAAATTGATATTGTTTGTTTAGAAGTTGCTATATTTATTAGAAAACTATTTACAGAATTGAGCTTCATAGCAATGTTTTTGATCACAAGAGTAAGAGAACTATCTACAGAACTATTTTAATAAAGGTTTACGTACATTATCTGTACTCGCTCAACCCATGTTTGTGCCTGTTTGTGTTTTAAGATCACAACTCACTGCTCCAACATATAAGACACCATGGACTCCTCAGTGCAGAATGAAAGCTTCCTGTTCACCACGATGGCTGCTAACACCAGCTTTGTTTACACGCCTATGATATCACCGGTAATAGACAAAACCATCAACATCATTTTGATCATCACCTTAACCATCACCATGATTTCACTGGGATGCACCATGGAGGTGTCCAAGATCAAGGTGACTTCAGGTGATATCCATCTGTTTGAAGACACATTATCGGTGTCTTTACCATCACATTAACATCTTTTTCCTTCTTTTCCAGCATCACATATTGAAACCTAAGGGGGTGGCGATAGCAGCACTGGCCCAGTATGGTGTCATGCCCCTTACAGCCTTTTGCTTAGCTAAGGTTGGTATGTCTTGTAGTAAACATAATTTATTATACAGGAGACTTGTGAGGCCTCCTGCAGTCTAAAAGAATGTACCAGTACATGATTATACCAATTTAATATTTGTACTGATATTATTTATTTTATATAATGACAACAAGAATATGATTTGTGTATTTACCTAATTTAGTTCAGTTTGTTTTGTTTTTTTGATTGATTTTTGTGATCAAGGAAAGATTCTCTGGTTCCAGTCTCTCAAATATAAGGATTTGCCTCTTTCTGTGTCATTGTAAATGTAATATATTAGGGTTTTCGACTTCTGGAAACACAAACTACAGGATCTGGAAAGTTACAATGGAATTTATTTAGGCTTTTGGATATTTTACAGATTAAGCGATTAGTTGATTAATTGAAAAGTATTGATCGATAATGTAAATAAATGATAGTTGAAACCCTAATGTTTAGAAAACATTGCTTGCAATGGTCCAAAGTCAGTGAAAATCTTCAACAAAGGAGCAGTAAGACAACATAATAATCCAACAATACAAAGAGGAAACAGTAACATAAACAGACTGAATTAGATTATTTATATAATGGTTGTAGTTGCGATCAAAGACCTGACAGTGTAAGTTATTTATTATTCATCTTTTTGACTTATTTGTTTACATTGTCTCCATACCAAACCCTCTCTTTCCATGTATTTTATTTCCCTAATCAACATCAGATCAGCGCCAGTGTCACTGTTAGACTTGTTATGAGTAATAGACACCGAACACTCTGTATGAATATAATATCATTTCATGCTGTAGGCGTTCCAGCTGCCTGAAATCACAGCTGTAGTGGTTCTGATCTGTGGCTGCTGTCCTGGAGGAAGCCTCTCCAACATCCTGGCTCTGGCTCTGCAGGGAGACATGAACCTCAGGTACACACACACACACACACACACACACCAAGCTTGATGAAACAATTGATGATGCTGTCCCAGTACGTCCTGTGATATAAGAGTTGAATGACCTGCAGGACATCTGCAGTCTGATCAGGGGAATCTTTTTCAACCGCAGGGCTGTTCACCCTATTAGGTACCTTAATCACCAAGGAGCAGGTGTGTAGATTATGGTGGCGTGTTGTTCAGGACATTCCTGTCCTATCTGATGTCTGGGGATCTTATCTGGTTTACAGATATTGAGCACAGTCTGACAGGATGCCTTGAGGCATTAATGGAGGCATTAATGACTAAAACAAATCCAACAGATTCCTTCAGACAATAATGAATCTGTTGATGCAATACTTGGATGAGACAGGCTAATTCCTGTACCACATCAAATACTGTATAAGCCAATAATTTCTGTGTTGTGTGTGTGTGTTGATGAGGATCCGCTGTTGGCGGCAAATGAGAGTTTCTTGTTTTAGTGGTGGCAACTGACCAACCACCACAACAAATGTTTACAAACAATTCAGAATACAAATATTATAACACAGTAGTTTTACTTTTAATTTACAGGCACATTCAAAATTACTTTTGTTGTCACTTTTCGCAGTATTCAGTAGTTGGTGTGTAAAGGTGACAGTATTGTGCAGCTACTGTCATAAAATAGGTAGTGTGAGGGCATTAAACCTTGTAACAATTGGCTGGCAGATTGCCTGTTGTAATGCAACTGCAAAGAAAATATTCATACCTGCAGTTAAGAAGTCGGACGCCCAACTTGCGGCACCTGGAGACTCAAGGACGTGCTCAAGGTCGGGCTTCCTGAGCAACATTTGCCCTCTATGGCTGAGCTGAGCTTTTATTATTTTTTGACGCGTTTGCATCATGTTGTGTAATATTTCTTTATATTATGCTATTACACAATGCCTGTAGCATAATATAGGGCAATACTGTGCGACATGATGCAATGAATTTGACATGCTGGGAATTGTTGCGATGCAGATATGGAGATTTTTAGATTCAGAAGGCATCCCATTCCATCAGGGGGTTTCCCAGGCTGGAGCAACAGCCCCTCAAAATGTCTGTGCATGCCCCTGAGGCGACTACAGTGTTCATTCTACCTCACGAATGTAATAACGTTTTTATTTAATGGCGTCTGTCATTGCTCTCAAGGTTGCCTAACATCAGAGTATCAACACACAATAAAACACAAGGCACTAATAATACATCAATCAACTGTAAGAAATGCAATACTCAACACAGCATAGCTCATAAATGAGTTAAAAATGTATATTTTAATATAAAATATGTGCAGATGCAGTTAAAGTGAGTGAGCTTGTTTAAAAAGATGCTGTTTGGGGGCTAGAGGATCAAATGCAGAAGATAAAATGCCCTTGTAGCAGTCCATTAGCTCCAGGAGGTGGGGGTTGGAGCAGGAACGGGCTTTGTGGTAATTAAACAGATGAAACCGTCTGATGTCTGATGTTGATGATATGATACAATGCACCCTTGATTAACTGGTTGATGCTGAATTGATTGCTAGTTGAGCAGAGGTAA